CCTCCCTCGGGGTTTGCTATGGATAGAAAATCTCTAGCTGAACCTTGCATAGGTACTCTCTCGGAAGCTAAGTTATTACCTTTTTGAGGGCCATGCCGTAGATCGCTTGGCGTAGACGAAATCTCATATCACCCATAGTATTTTCAACAATTTGCGATAGAATATTGTCGAGTGTAAGTGGATCGATCTGAATGTCATAATAATTAATAATTAAAATTAATAATTAATCAATAATTGAAATTAGTTCAAAAGGTGAGATTGCTATGTAATAGCTCTCTCTAAAAAGCAAAATTTTGGTACCTTCGGATCTCGCTGTTCAATGATCCGTGAATAGCTCGTGGTTATCAAAATCGTTACGACAACATGGAAGAAGAGCATCTGAATCACTTCGGTCACTTTCCTAACGGTCGAAGAAATCTGTAAATTTTGCGAAGGGATACCCTGGAGGTGTGCAAAATCTTTTCTATCGTAGTGTGGGTTTAAGCCGCGCCCTCGTCGGGATTGAAATGATGTAGCTCCACCTTTCTCAAGCGATTCGAATATGACTTCAGTGTTCGAGAGTTTTTGCAATGAGCCAACAGACTTGACTTGAACCCACACTACTTCACAATGGTTTTCAAGGATACTTAGGTTAATGTATTTGTAAAACAATTTGATTGAAATTGCGATGAATTATTGCAGGCGTCTTTTGGAATGCGCCACGCAGTCGAGCAGTCCTTTAATTGCTGCCCGGTGACTTATTAGATGCTGACCTGCCAATTTTTTCCATCTAGGTAGACTCCGAGACGGCGACTGACTTCGGCAAGTCGAAATTGTCTTCTAAGCGCTGCATCATTTTTTTTTTGAGGGAAAAATTTATTTAATCGTTCAATCAATAGCAACTATTATCTTCAACTAGGGGACTCTGAAGCGCTACAACTTTCCCCCAACAGACTGTTCCACAGAAAGGCCTGAGATTCATAAGAATACCTTGGAGGCTAATAAAAATGGCTTGTAGCCCAATTAAGAGAAGTAATGGAGAATGGGAACAACTGAACTGGTAGTATGCTGTAAGTAAGTATGAGTGGGCGTTGAGTATAAGGTACATTGGTGCTAATGGAGAAGCTCATGCTCACCAGCTGCTCATTGCATGTTATCAGTGCTAGTGGTTCGCCTGTGTACACATTCGGTTTCGGGTCAGATGTCGTTCTTTGATGATGGATGGATGTTTTGTTTGATCGAGACACTCAGGTGCAAACCTCTCATCAATTAGGCGACACCTTGACTTACCAGCAGGTATTACCTGAGTAGTGAGAACGGCCCAGATGTCTACTCGGGCATAGGCCTATCATCCTAGAGCGCTCATTCCGCTTACACATAATTGTACAGATACGAAAGACCATTCTTGAAGATTGGCGATAAAAATGAGTGCGGTGCTAGATTTATTGACTTTGATTTATACATAGAAACTGTAAACAATGAATAAAGATACCTTGGGAGAAATCAGCTTTTGCCAGTCATCACGACTTGAAATGGTCCCAAGTCTTATTTGAAAATTGGGCCAATTTAAGATAATTCGAATTATGTCTTTATTTACATAAAGATGAAAACGGTCACAGAGCGTTGCCTTTTCCCAATTGACTGTTTAATTACCTGAATACCGATATAATGTGGTTTATTTGAATCATACCTCCTATGGGGGCTCCTAGGAATAACCTGGAACATCTCATAATGAGCACGGGAAAGGAAAATCAGTACGACTCCGATTTGTTAACGTAGTACTCCAATAGCTTCGCACAATTGACAGTCGTAAAATCTGGGGAAAAATCGTATCGATTCCTCTTCAAAGGTGCGAATCAATAACAGGATTACGGTAATAACTCGATACTGTAACAGCTATTCCATCTTTTGTTTCCAAGCGTATGAGACTTGCGGGTCAGTCGGCTGGCAATAGTAGTTGCCCTGTACTGAGGACCAAATAACCGTTTGGAGGTCCCAAAAAGAATTTCATTCCAGGGCCTGTGTGGGTATAGCACGATTCCCAAGTAGGTGATCAACACTCAACTACCGTTGGGAAATTCACTAACAAATAGAAAAAATTATTCATCAAATAGTAAATAGACAACAAATCCCTTATCAACAAATCAAACAACACGGGCACCATTATTGGTCAATCATATCACTATGTCACATATTTTTTTTTATCAGAAAGAAGGCATTCTCTAAAAAAAAGAAAGAAAACATCAAAATAAATAATCTTTTCATACGTACATAACAGTAAACTCTGTACAAAGCCCTACTCATCACTGTACAAAACGAGACCTGCATAGCTATATAGGGAAAGCAATCCTGAACGGCAAAGCGCCAGAGACAGAACGAAGCCGCTGCGTCTGATATGTGAATATCACATCACTAACAACGTCTAACATTGTGAATTTGTTGCTGGAGACTTCGGCTTCTGGAATGGCCTTTCATCGTAGATCAGATGGGAGATGACGTCCGATTGTGAGACACATGCGATAGGCGTTTTGTGGTCGTCAACGACGAAGACGCAGCGCATTCGTTGGGCTTCTAGGAGGGCATCGAGAACTTTGCCGACAGGATCGTTGGGCCGAACAAATACCGCTGCTGGACGGCGACCAAGCACTGTCGAAACCGTGGTGTCGGAGAAGAACGTCTGAAAAAGTGGATAGGACACTCGACAATAAATCTGGGAACAAAGCACAATAATCATAAGATGGAAAGAGGTAGGTGGCAGTAGTTCCATCTGGTTTGTGGGGCAACAAGCCAACTAACTAAAGAGCGTCCCACGGTGAGATAAATAGCTATTTGTAAGAAAAGCCGCGTGCTGTTACATGACTCATTTTCTCTAACCGTACAGGCGCGGATGAAAGAAAAACGTATTAGGCGATGTACGGCGCAGAAAGAGAGGGGCGACTCGGACGATTGGAGGCGGCGAAACCACAACCAGCTAACCATGGCGTCTCGCCGACAAACATTCTCGTGAGTGCAGTCTCTTCAGATTTTGCTCGAAATTCTGCCCCTTCCCCCGCCTACGTATCATCCCTTTCAGCCTTCACTTCAAACAACCACTGACTACACGAAGAGTCCGGAAATCGCGCTACTACGAAGCTGCCCTTTGGATACACGTTCTGTCCATAATTTGAGTGCTTATTAGAAACTCACATGATGAGCGTTCACCTCCATCAAAGCCATAGCCAAATCGGATTTTGTTACAACATCAACTGCGTGACCATTTGAATTGATGACTGGGACAGATGATAAACGATGGCTCAACATTTTTTCCAGCACATCATTCAAACAATCATCCAATGAAACCTGAAAGGCAAGCGATATCTAGGGCATGGGCTTATGTGAAGTCTCAAATGGGCAACTATGTAAACCTACCGAATGTATTTTGCCTTCCCAAGTACCCACACCGGAATCCTTAATTGGACTACTCAACCACTGAGCAAAATGCAGTGAACGATTCTGGAAGCAGTAAGACAGTTGACAGCTGTTTTGCCCCCAAAGTGGTATTCGTAAAATGTCAAAAGTCGTAATTAAGCTGAAAACCTATCCACTCTATGATATGAATTTACCTGTTTATGTATAGCTTGTAGTACCCGTTTTATTGTCAAAAGATAAAGAATGTCCCCTGATTGGGGTTCCCGTACGATGATACGATGTACGCGATGCAGACAAAATTGTTCACACGCTTCGATCACTCTGAAAATTCTCAGATAAATTCGAAATTTCTTGGTAAAACTGAAGTTGTGGGCACAGAAAGAATGTGAGCAGGGAAAACACATAAAGGATAAAGTCATGGGGTAATAATCAATCCCGTCTGAAAGAGGCGCCTCGCATTCGACTCCCATTCAGAATAGTAGTGACGTATTGAATGCGTATGTGACCTATACAATGACTTGCGGTGGACAGCCGATGTACCAATCAATACCTTTATCTTCCCAGGCGTGTGTGGTACCAATTCACCAACCCAGGAGTGATGGAAACCTGGTTGGCTCAGGCGGATATCTATCCAGGATTCGAACCCTTGACCATGCGTGTGTGAAGTGCACCTTTTACCACTACACTACCTCCGCCGTTAGGGAAAAGACAAAAAATAATAAGTAGAACTAAAAGCGTGGTTAGGAAAATTTCCACAAGTATCGCTGGGCAATTAACCCGTACCAGCTAAAACCTCAAAAGCAAAATGGTCGTAGGAGATATTCACAATCCTGATTCTGACCCAAGGATCGATCTTTCGCCAGTAGATTTTCGAGCTACACTCGAATTGCAGACTTGCAGCCCGTTGATCCACCAATAAGGAGTGAACAGAGGCATATGGGCGAACTTGTAAGTACCATAAAAAGAATTAATTAGCAGGTTTCCCAACAATGGCTACTCACTTCATATCCGCAAAGACGGTAACCAGCGGGGTGTCGGATATGAGGTCACAGATTTCGCTTTGTGAACGTTTAGACTGTGACGCGTCTTCACGCATATACGTCAAAAAGTCGGTCAAAGTTACGATCGATGTGATCTGAAAAGCTTGAGGTTTGACCATTCATATTAAAAAAAGCCAAGAATAAGACGGTATTCAGTGAAAGACTGAGATGGTGACCAGCTTTTCACAAAAGAATCGTAATGCTTGTAGTACTGGGAATAATCACCCTTCCTAGTGAGCCATCCCATACCAAGCCAGCACGGACGTTTTGCTCACAAAGGGCCGAAAATGCTCTGTCCACCTGAAAAATTCAAAAATCAAGTCCACCCGAAAATTAGAAATCAACTTAAAGAAATAGATACAGAAAAATGTAAAAAAATCAAAAAAATAGATAGTACATTTTTAATGCGAAGGTCAATAGACTCACAATGATCAATGAACTATTCATGAACAGAATTAAATCAAACAAGGGCAAAAAACTATGATTTCAGAACGTCACCTTTATGGATTTATCAAGAGCTATAACATTTCCGGCTTGAGGTGAGAGTTCATAGCAGTCCACTACTCTCATATACTGCCGATATGGATCGGACTGCGATTCTAAAACAAATTAAGCTTCATCCAAGATAGTGGGCATGCCAGTCAAGTGGGTCAGACTCTTAGGACCACTTGACAGCCTTCTCAATGGACACGAACTTCAATGAGGAGGGAGCAATGTCTATAAGACCACCTCCCGAAGTACTCCATCAACGGCAATTGATTTGTACCGACTGCTTTTATTTAGGGATAAGAGCACGGTCCCCGGAAAGGACAAGTACGGGTTCGAGTCCCGTCCGAGGCTGGAGTTTTGCCCACAAATCGCCAACCTTGTGAGGCTTTTATTTAGATTGGCGCCTCTGAGTATCTAGCAACAATCATACAAATTACAAACTAGAAGAAGATTCACTCACCTACAAGACCAACGACGTCTACTGACAAAGGACGAGATGTTTTTCGGAGAATTAGGAAGTCCTGAAATCATGACTTTGTAGAAACAAAAAACCAATAAAAAATTGTACAGTGGTTCAGACAAAAATAGATAAGCTAAGTTGGAAGAAGTATTAAATATACTAAACATTATTCATAAGATGCTACATGCAAATATCTCGATTGTCCCTGAATTCTAGAAAAACTGGTTGAAAATGGAATATGAAATTGGCGCACGTATGGTTACTTCATGGGATCGAGTCCCACGTCATAAAAGACGAGCAATATTCAATCCCAACAATATAAACCACCCAAAGATGTTTTCAGGCAAGCCTTCGCTTATNGGGGGGGGGGGGGGGCTACTAGTGGAAATGTCGGAACGATTCCCCCTTGAAAATCTTCTTTTTGAGAATTAAGCTTGGATTCCCTCAAATTTTGAGGATCTTTAGAGGGGTCTTTTCTCTAAATCCACGGAAACCCATAAGATTTCAATCCTTCACAGCAGAGAGAAGATGTGAGGGCCACGAAAAAGGTCTTTTGACATCAAATAATTCTTACCGAACTATTACTCCGCGGTCTTCGGAAAGCCCAATCATCGTCGTAGAAATCGGACGATCCCTCTTCACACTCACGTAAATCGTAAACCGACGTCAAATTGCAGCCATTCACCTCAAATAGTAGGATGTTGTTTGTCATCGTACAGAAGGATGTAAAAAGAAGCAGAACTCGCTCAGTCTGAGTACTAGTTACAATTCTTCGGGGTTCTAAAGAGCCTTCGGTCGAGACAAGAGTCGGTTCCACACTACAAAACTTTGCGTTACAAGGGTATAGTCAGGTTGCAAAATCATTTCCAAATCGATTGCCCCTGTAAGTTCATCAGCTACCTCTGGACTTGTATCACATGGGAGAAATCGATTAATTCGATCTTATGATATGCTCAGCCAACGTTCCCACGATCAATAACCTGAGTGGATTTCCAATATGACAATTGAGGAAGGTGTTTTGTACAATCCCCACGAAGTGAATTCTTCCATCTCAACCAAGAACAATTCTTCAGTTCAGCCAAACAAAATTTAAAAAATGTAAGTTGTTGGAAATGGAGAGGATTTGACAGGCATTCAGAACGGATCCAAAACAAAATCACTCATTATCAGCCTTTTTATCTAGGTAACCTCCGGATTAACAAATCTGATCCCCAAGTTGTTACCATGGTGAAAGAGAACAGGTAAATGCTAATTCAAAACTCACTTTGAGGACGTTCCTCGGGTAACAATGAAGGACAAATCCATTAAAATGGTACAATTTCGCCATCACACAGGCCGTCGGTATCCTTTCGTAAACCACACAATGACGGTACACCACCCGACGGACGAAATTGCACTACGGAAAAAAAAATTGCTGTGCATTACCCTTCTGCTCATCCATTTTCGCACAGGTCCCTTGTGCCCGTCAGGTTGTACTATGCGCTTCTAACAAATGGACTAAGGACATAGTGCCTTCTCTGAAGTAACGGATAGCTATTCTGAAGAAAGAACGCCAAATGACATCGCCTCCCATAAATACGGCCTGGAAACACGTTTTGAGTCAACCAAGCCTTTCATACTCACAGAATCAACTAATGGTATTACGCCAATATGGGAGAATAGGCTTACTCTCCTACACGTAGGCTTGCTCCCTCATAACACTGTATAGCCCAAATGGTACAATGAAGGAACCAAAGAGAAGCATTCCTTACTGGTTTTCCATGACTTCGCTTTTCCGATGACTTTATCGAAGAGACTACTGGGCTCGATTTCATGCATTATTCGAAGGGAAAACTTCTTTCTTCCCCCCTAATCAAGTAATGACTGTTTAAGGAACTTCGCCAAAAAATGTTTTGATTGATTGCAAGGAAATAGGAAGGCATCAATCAATGGGAAGAGGACGTGCCACCTAAAAAACGGGAAGAAACCGCTTATCTATGAATAGGGGGATATAAAGGAAAATTTTAAAGAAAATAGAGCTGTAAAAGGTAAAGAGAAGATCGCGAAAGTAGAAAAAATCCATCGAATAAATAGACATGCAAATCTTATAGGAAGGAGAAAATGGCCTGGTATCTATGCTTGAAATAGTATGTCCGAAAAAAGGCTTACGAAGAGTATTAGTTCTTATTAGCGATCCGAAAGGCAAAGCAAGGCCCTTCATACCTATAAAATGTGGGCAGAACCGTCCTACCCACAGTTTCTACCTCAGAATTCCTCCGAGGTAGAAGAAAGCGGATGTTCGATTTCAAAAAACGAACTGAATTCCTGAATGCCACCCTACCTGTACTTTCTTGAGCTTGGTTGATTTTCTCAGTAACTGCCCACTAAGGCTTTCAGATCGCGGCCGACCCATCAGACCACGAAGACCTGAAACTGGTACTAAATCAACGGCAATTCACAATTTCCTACCGTCCTTCTATGGCACTCCTAACAGTCAAAGACCGTTTGAGTTAGATGTGCCCTAAAGTAGGAACTTATTCCATTTCTGTGTAATTCCTCAAAAGCTTATAAACCTAAAGTTTTGCAAACTATGTAAACAAAAGGACCACGACAAAAGTTATGTAAACAATCAAGTCATAATGAATAAACATTCAAATTTCCCAGAAGGATGATGCACGGAGGAACCACAACGTACCACTCAGAATGCTGGGCGGCCTTTGGACGCTACCTGATGCGAAACGATGTCGCCTGATTGATGCTGGTTGCTCAGGAGCTGTAAACAAGTAAGTTGAATCAAATAAAATCCCTGATGCGAAACGATGTCGCCTGATTGATGCTGGTTGCTCAGGAGCTGTAAACAAGTAAAGTTGAATCAAATAAAATCTCCCAACTTCTAACTTGAAAAATCATTGTGCGGGGAAGAGCCAGTAATCTATCACCATTGAGCTTTTACAGTCACCACCTAACCGTAATGATACCTCGGTCATCCCATGCTCTAAATTTGCTCTTACCATGATCAATACGAAGGCTTTCTCTGCCAACCCGACAAGTCTGTCAGAGGCGGGGCTACCGGGAGAGGCGTTGTTGACTGGAAAAGCGTTGGTTCGCCTAGGTCAGCGACAGGGTAAACCACAGGGTTTCGTCGTCCACATTTCTTACTACTGCTCTTTTTTAT